CGGAGCGGGCCGGGCCGGGCCGGGCGGCGGGATTTCAGTGCGGCTATCAAGCTGTGCTTGGCTGGCGAGGCACCACCGGTCGCGCTTTTCTTCCCATCGGCGCGCCCCCGGGAGAACTCGCTCTGCGGGCCCTGAGGGAGCGGAGCGCCGCGCTGGAAGGGCCTAAAGCCTGAGGTGAGGCCGCAAGCGCCGGCCGTGAAGGGGTACGGCCCTGTGGGGACGCCGGGGTGCCAGGCTGCAGGGAGGCGAGGACAAAAGGGGCAGCTCCGGAGGACACACCTGAGCCTGCCTGATGAAACCTTGGCCTCTGTGGTGTCTAAGGCACAAGCTCCAGTTGAGCCTTTCCCACAGCTGGGGCGTGCCCGAGCTCCACATGGCTTTACGAGGGGTGTACGACCTGCCTCCGTCATCCGTTTGTCCAGGCCAGTGGAAATTGCCTCACAGGTTTGAGAAACGGCAGTACTCACCTCACGAGCGCTTCACCGTCCGGCTTCCGTAATGTACACGTTTAAGAGCCCTGTTCTGCGTGGCACTTATCGAGGCAGTGCATTTGTCTCGGTTAATCTCTCTGCCATTAACTGCCAACATCCAGAGCACGAGGGAGAGGAGACTAATGAGGAAACAGGCCAACATACAGGAAAGGATTCACCCCAAACCTCAGTCATGATCAGGGGTGGGAGTGCAGTTGCTGACAAGGCATTTGTCTGGAATTCCCTCATTCACTCAACACCAAATCCAATTTGCAGAAATACATAGTTTAGGAATAAATTCCAGAACCAGTATATAGAGTAATGGAGAGTTCAAGACTTACAGTATCAATGTGCTTTCCACTCAGAGTGTTGTTTATGCTGTAGCAGGGCCAGACTGCTGAACAATAAAATTTGGATTAAACAAGGGTTAAGAAATTTTTATATCTGAAAATATGTATGAGAGTCATTTACTAAGGAGAAAAGGTTGTTGCCTGAAAAGTAGATCCTGTCTTAAAAGTATGTTAATCCTAACTGAAGGTTTCAGATACATAATTGTGATATTTTCTACTTTACTTACTTTCCCAATCACATTTTCCTGGGGGGGAGGGGTGGGGAGTACAATTACTGATTCTGGAATATGAAGAGACCTCTCTCAAAATACTTCTGGATATTTAAGGTACTCTGGCCATCTTTTAAAATAAATTCTAAGTTTTAGATTCTTAAATGCATTTTAAAATCTAGCAGTTGTTTCTGTATAAAACAAAACATGGGCCTACATTTTTTTTCCCCACATATGGTTGTTTTATTCAGATAAGATATATTTTTATCTAACTTATGGAGATTTTTGAGTATATCGCTTCTTACTTTCTGGAAGGATTTTTAATCCATATAGTATGTAAGTTTATCTACTTTTCTTCCATAGGGTAGAAAATACCACCAAAGACATCAGAAGTTCAGTGTTTTAATATAACAGGAAGATAGATTTGTTGCATTCTTAAAAAGAATTATTCACAGAATAGGAAGACAATGAGAGAAAGAAAAATTGTGCTTTACTGTTTGAAAACTGACCAAAAATAAAATCTTTTCCCACTTTACTATGCACTAGCCATAGTACAGACTATGGTTTGCTTTGTTGGACCAGAATATTATGGAGTTAATGTATGCTGTACAAATGTAAATTTTCCTTGTAGAAAGAATAAACCTAAGTTTTACGACCCCCCTGTGTATTAAACCAGCACTAATCTTAGTCTTAAACACTGCAGCATGAGCTTACATGTGCTATCCACACAGGGAGAAACTTATGTAGATATGAACTGTGCTTGATTTATTTAGAGATAAGCTAACAGACATATCTAGGCTGGTTACTCTCATATCTTACCTACTGAAAAAATATATATGCCTTTTTTCTGTTGTTTGGATATTTGGCTTCAATTACTGAAATGTTATTAGCTGTTGTGTGCTCAATTGCACTCAGATGGCATAACAAACATTGATTTCTGCTTGTACAGATAACATCAACCGGTTTAGATTTCAATATTTTTTTTTCTTTTCTGCCAGTAACATTCAAGGAATTTACTCTCACAAGCTGTGTTTGGCCTGCAAGCTAAGAAGCAGGAGGTGAGGTAGAAGATACCACCACAGGTATTCTGTTTAAAAGAATGTCCTTTTCATTTTATGACTGCGTGCAGTGGAGTGGAAGAGTGATTTCGATTCTGTCCTGAAGAGGTGGATCAAACCTTTGCGTAGGGACATAAATTTTGCTCAGTTTTATCAGTCTGACTCTAGCTTGATCTTCACAGGATGTTCCTCTTCCCATTGTATTCAGGCAACTTGTACACGATGGAAGAGTTACCCAAAATAATCATCACCATCATGATCTATTTATAGAAATATGAAATCTAACCATCCATAGCCCAGCACACATAACTTAAGATTGCTTTTCAGGTGCTAAATTAATCCTTTCAACTTCCATAATGATAGGAAAACATGACCTTGCGTGGCTGGAATTTCTGGAGGCTGCTTATAAAGTTAGTTATTTTACATTGATGAGCTACTTATTTCTTGATGTGATTGTTTTATTATAGGAGACTTCTTTTCGTACATTCTTCACCTGAGGTGTTTCACTCCTGTATTGCTCAAATGCTTCTTGTCATCATGTAAAGGCACTTAATTACACAAGAGCTCCGAGTACCCAGCACCACTGAAAACCAGTCCCATGCTACACATTTGTACAAACTAAGGTTTCTTAGCAGTTGTAACAAAAAAAGGTGTTACTAATCTTCACTTTTCCAATTTAAGGAAGGAAAGCGCAGCACCACTAAGTGGCAGCACTAGGCATCATTACTGCCAGCTTCGCTGAATTATTTTTATATTTGTGAAAGATTTAATATAAACTGCTGCTCATGTTGCAATAATACATATGCCTCTTTTTTGCTCATTGGGTTTGATTTCATCATTTTCAGGACAGATGAATAAACTTGTGCTTGGAGAATCTACGCGTAACCTTTCCAAATACTTTCATGGGTTCAGAAAGTGCCATTTGAATATGAGTTTTACATACATTATAATAACATTAATTTACCAGTTGGAAAATACAACATACGGGTCCCCACGCATTACACTGGGTGCTTCTCAGATCAGTTTCACAGCTCCTCTGCGGTGCCAAGGCGGTCCCAAACACTGATTCGTCTTTCACAGATTAGGTAGGGTACATTTTACAAGATCCAGGGTGCATCGCTACCTATTTTATGCCTGTGTCCTGAGCATAAAGATAACCTGTTTCAGTTTGTACATTAGGAGGGCTGAAATATGTAGCTGAAGCACAATTATGATGTTTGAAAGCCATGTTGTGTGCTTTACATTCCATAGCAGTAGGGGTTAAGCTTGAAGGTCCCAGTTCTTTTAATGAATACACGAATCACTAAAGCTGTTAACTTACAAGCCTAAAGCAGGGAAGTTTATATCCAATTGCCAAAGATGCCAAAGCTGTCAGCAAACATATCCTCACACATTGTTAACAGTGTAATCTTACATAGTAATCTGTATTATTAATTTCAGTCATTCTAAAAAACTCACTGATTGGATTTAATACTATGACATACCTAAGAGGTACTGAAGTCAAATCACAGCTTGTAACAAAGTTCCTGAGCAGATTCCAGTGCTGCCCCAGCCGCATTCCTGAAAAGCTGTTATCTAAATACGATGACTCCATGTGGCACGCTGGTTAGGTCCCTATACTACTTTGTCTACAGACTGAAGCATATTAAGTGCTGAAAACAGAAAAATAGGAGCATGTGCAATTTATTTTTGTATGCTGTTTTGATTCTGGGAAAACCAGCATTAGGAAATCACACCCAGCAGAAGTTCAACTGTTGTCTGTAGTCCATTTTAAACTGACTGAACAGATTTTCAGTGTCACACCACACAGTATTCAATTTTTTTTCTTCTTACAACTGATTAATTTTGTAGCTGGGAAAGAAAATAACCCAAACGAGTCTTTTATTTTCATACTGAAAATTTAAAAAGGTGAAGGTATGTCCCTAAAATGCATTACTCTTCAGAGAAGGAAAGGCAAGTGACCTTAGTGTTAACTATTGTATCTGTCATCGACACAGAAAACTTTCCCATGCAGCTTTGCTATCTTCTTATACCATAGGAGTTAATTATATGAAAGCCTACATGCCAGCAAGTCAGGAACAAACATCACTAGTTGCCGTCTTTGTGTTCACCAGCGACTTCTATTCAGCCTCAAAGAGCTGTAACATAGCACTGTGGGGATGAGCTTCATTTACACTAGAGTTGAAACAATATAAATGTGCTTTACACCAAAGCCTAATATAAGTAAGAATAAGGGCTCGTGTTTCAGACGGAATAATGTATGTGGGTGTTTTGTTGTTTTTTTTTTTTTTTTTTTCCAAATCATAATTCCAGGAGGGTAGGAACTAAACAAAAAATGTCACACATTTTTCATTTTGATATATCAGTGAAAGGTATTTTCAGGCAAAATTGATTTTGAAGGTTATCAGAATTAAATTAAAAAATAATAAAAGAGTGTGGCTTTGCAGCTCAAGGAGGATTTATGATTAGAGGAGACACAGCGGGTCCTTTGCGGCTTTCTTCTCCATTGTTCTCCAGAAATGACAGCTATTGTCCAGTCCAGCCTCTTATACAAGAATGAACATCAGGCCACAAGTGGATTTATTGTCCAGTGAGGCAAAAAATATGACTTTGCTACCACAGGGTGGGAAGGGATTATTATTTATTTGCAATATCCTATAGGATTATGGAGTTTTGGTAGTGTGCCAAGAAAGACATCCGATGTACGTATGGAGGCTGCTATATTTTAACAGAAATTCAGTAACATATATCCGAGAACAGATTCTGGGAAAAGGTGAAGTTCCAGTCACATAAACGGATCACTGCTGTATAAACTGACGCCTCTGATGCACCCTAATGATCAGCAGCTCATCTCACTGCTTTTTAGTAAACATTGATTTTTCCTTTCATGTGAAAAATTCAAAGAAACGTAGCTTAGTATCACAGATGCCCTCTCTCCCACTTCCTCCTCACACACATACAGAGTCATAACACAAGCAAGGTTTGAATAAGGGCTGCGCTGCGGGACCCGCAGTTCTTGCGCCCATGCATGGGTGGGTGCTGGTCTTGCCACCAGCCCCGTCCCTGCTGCAGGAGAGCTGCCCCGGCCATGGGCTCCACCCTGTGCTTCTCCACACACGATGGAGCGCAGTGCTGACTGCAGAAAGCCTCTTCAGAGTGGTCACAGGCACAGTTTCACATTTGCTCCTGATTTGTCTTGTGCTTACCATTTCTGTTGGAGTGTCTTCCGTGGGTTTATATTTTTCCTTATAGAACCAGCTCCTCGGATTTAGGCTTTCCCATCCTTCATATTGTACCATGATCCCTCATGAGGTGCCGTTTAT